TAAAAATTTCACTAGATTCAATAATGCATTTCACATTTTCTAAAGAAACATCTTTGAAGGACTGGGGCAAATTCTTCAAGCAGATCTTTCGTGATGGCCATATAATTCATTTCCTCAAATTGACAGACAAAACGTCTATCCCATGAGTGAAAAACTGTACTATCAGCTCCTACCCCTATATAATAGCGGCTCTTCATTTACCAGCCGAAGTCGCTATTTCATCAACACTAATAAAAGCAAAGCAAATTTTTTTTGGTTGCCATACAGATAAAATTAAAGTCAAAAGTGCGATAATTATTGTTTATTGCATTATTGTTTAATCCAATATGAAACTTAAATCTGTCTGGGCTGTGATGAGTCACATCTTAAAATGTTTTTGTTAATGTGCTTTTTTCACGTAGGAGGGTGCTTTCTTTTTCGAGGATTTGTGTTTTTCTTTCTAAGTATTCCATATCATCTAGTGATATACCTGTGTGGGATGCTGCGTCCACTAAAATTATGTTGGCATTGTTGGAAGCAGGCAAGGAGCTGACATCAGGAGATTCATCTGACATCTGCCTTGATACGAAAGAAATAAATGTCTATAAGTAAAATAAAGTAATTTCTAGCATAAAAACTAATAATAAATAGGATTTTTATATTAAACCACTTGATTAAAAAATAAAACCAAAATAATTTTTTTTATTTACTGTTTAGAAAAATTTTATATATAATACAATTTTAATGTAAAATACAAATCTCTCTTTTTCTATATTTTTTTTTTTTTTAAAAAGTAGAAAAAACCCCTTTAAGTTAACATCAAGGCTCTAAAATTAATCTGCATAAACTACTCTTATATGTTTTAATATTTTTAGCTTCCCACAACATCTTTAATTTTATTGTGTATTTTTTTATTTAATACAATTACTAATTAATATATTTACTCTTTGTTTTACACCATAGTAATATGATAATAAATGTAGAATGTGGTGAAACCTATTAATTTTTAGCAAAACTTTTAAATTAAATGTAATATATTAATTTTTGAATAAATTCTAGTTCCAAGAGTTCAATATTAATACACTCAAATTTTTAAATAAAATATAATTTTCTACTGTGTTTTTATGAATAACTTAAAAGACAATGTTCTGTTTCATAATAATTCTAAAAAGATTATTCACAACATAAATTGCTATAAGCTGAGCAAAAATCGCAGCTAGGCCACAAGCTTCGTTCCTTCAATTTATCTGCTAGCATGTCCCAATGTACGAAAATCTGTTCAAAACTATCAAATAGTGTGGGAACCAATAATAAATATATTCTCCACTGCTCACTCAGTTTTTTTTTCTATGGATTACAGCTTGCATATTCATATTGCATTTTCCAGGAAGGCAATAAATGTAAGCAAAATTTAATAATAAATTAAATATACGTATTTAATAACATAAGAATAAGTATTAATATCTTTTTGAAAGCTATCCTTCTATACACACCGGGCTATTACTTAAACTATTTCAAATATATATGTGCACGTAAAAAAAATTACATGCACTTTTTTTAGTTATTAATGATGATAAATAATATATATACAAAAAGAAACATTTTATGTTATAAAAATTACCGTTGTCACCACTTGAAGTACCATTCACTGAATCGAATTTAGCACGGTTTTTATTCCGTTCATAGCGTTGTAGCTTTTTTTCTGCTTCACTAGCAGCTTCTGGGTGAAATTTAAATATAGGCTGCATATAATCAGGTTGTTGCAAATCATTTGATTTTTTCCCTAAAAAGAAGTGTTACTATAATTTCATTTGAAAAAAAAATCTCTACATTTTAATTAAAGAGTTTAATTTTTCTTTATAATGGTCTTGTAATGTCATGTTGAAAGTTAAGAAATTTTAGCAAATAACTAAGCAATCTCTTCACTGTTTACAAAATTTAACATATTTTGTTAACAAAGATTGCATAGGAAATTATATTAAACAAGACAAGAATTAATGTAGCAACAAGAAAGCTAAATTGAAGCAAATTATAGAATTTTTTTTTGTCGGTGTTATAATAATAAAAAAAACAGGGTTCAAAATTTAAAAAAAAATGTATAATATAAACAAATAGTTAACTAAATTTTTAATTAGTAAATAATTTAACTATTTATCTTTTTATTTTTATGACAACTGAAATTATTTAGCAAATGATTACACAACTTTAAACCAGCTGTAAATTTTTTATTGAAATTATTCAGAAAATACGCTGAAGAGCCAAAAAAAAACTGGTACAGGCATGAGTATGCAAATAGAGGGGTATGGAGCCAATCAAAGTACATCGCTGCGATCGGTAACGCGTATATAAGACAACGAGAGTCTAGATCGGTTACTGCTGCTACAATGCCAGGTTATACAGATTTAAGTGAGTTTGAGCGTGGTGTTATAGTTGGCGCAAGGGAGATGGGACATACAGTTGACAAAAAAAGTATTAGCATACTAAGCTAATTTAAAATTCTTGCAAGATAAAATAACCAAACTAATCCAAACTAGGATTTTCTTTACCTTTATTATAGTAAAAACAAAAGTAAGTGAAAATAAAAAGCACATTTGCTTTTACAGAATTTAAAACAAAAAAAACATTATTATATTTTTGCAAAAAAACTATTAGCACACTTAGTGAAACAAATAAAAACATTTTTCATTATCGGTGATTTGCTTTTTAATATCTTGTATGCAATCCATTGGCCTTAATGACTGCTTCTAATCTTCGTGGCATAGATTCTACTAACTTTTTGGTAATATCTGAGGAAATATTATTTCAGGAATGAATCAATGTAGATTCTAAAGAATCTCTTCCCGTAATGTGGTTATTCCTTACTTCTTGATCTAGATGGTGCCAAAGATGTTCGATCGGGTTCAGATCAGGAGATTGGGGGGGGGGAGTGCGTAGCCTTCTAGGTGCATTATAAAGCAACCATTCCCTTGTTACATTCGCGGAATGTTTAGGATCATTATAATGCTGGAATATATAGGTGTCTTGGAGGCCTAATTTTCTAGCACTGCTTTTCAAGTTACGGCGCAAAACCTCTATATACGATAAAGCTGTCATCCTACCATTAATAACTTCCAAATTTCCAACCCCATTATGCGCCATACAGCCCCAAACCATCACATTTCCCCCACCATGCTTAATTGTTGACAAGATATTTTTCTGATCAAGAGCAGTACCTTTTTTCCTCCAAACAGTTAAAATGCTTTTTGGCCGAAATATTTCAAACTTACTCTCATCAGAAAAAATAACTTGCTTCCAAAACTCCATTGGCTTACTTCGATAGGTCAGAGCAAACTCAAGTCTCTTTTTCCTATTAACCTCGCTAATAAAAGGTTTCTTCCTTGGCCTCCTACCCCGAAGACCACTCATATGGAGAACATTTCTAATAGTTTGTGGCGTCACTGACTTGCCAGAAGTTGACGCAAAGTCGTTGGCTAAATTTCGAGCACTTTGAGTTGGATTTCTTAGGGCCATTTTAACAACATGCCTCCTTTCCCTGTCATTTACTTTGACTGGGCGACCAGATCGGGGTTTATTTTTCGTGGATCCTGTTTCTTCCACTTTTTTAATAATGGAACGAACTGTTGAAAAGCTCAATTTTAACTTTTTTCCAATATCCCGATAACTTTTTCCTAATTCACGGAGACATATTATCTTTTCTCGAGTGGAGCCTGGAATTTCACACTTCTTCGGACTCATACTTAATGAATAGAGAAATTCAAAATAACACTGAACGTAACTTAATACTCTAGTCTTAGTACAAGTNAGGAAAAATTAAAAGGTGTAAGAAATTATATTCTTTGTATTGAAAATGGCATGTACAAAATCAATAAATCCCATGATTATTATCATCAGATGCAGGGACAAATGGCCATTTTAAATTCTTCATCCACATATTTAGTTTTGTGGACTTTAAAAAGCACCATCATTTTTGAAGTTTACAAAGATGATAATTGGAATTATCTAGACATGCTGGTAGATTTCTATGTAAAGAAATGGGTACCTTACCTAATTTGCGACTCATAAAGGTAAATGTTTGTTTTAGTGTTTTATTATTTCTATGATTTTCTTTACCATTATGACTCTATAGAATCATTTATTTAAAAAAAAATTTTCAAAGTCAATATCAAAATTACACCAATTCTTTTTTCCTTCTGTATAGCGTCTGATATCATCAACATTGCCGCTTCCTAGATTGATTTTCTCTATTAATGTTATTGTAAATTGATAACATATCTATATATCGGAAATTTGTGACTTATGTAGTTGGAAAATTTTATTTTTAATTTTTATATGTATATTATGTTAATCTCTTTTTATAATATTAATTGTAAATGACTATGAATACTTTTTGTATATATGATTGGGAGAATTTGTATTTAATATTTACCATATAAATTGTATTTATAATCTGGAAATTGGAAACTTGTGAATTTTATTATTTGGAAAATGTTATTTTTAATTTATGTTTAGTTTTTCATAAAATATGTATATTGTATTAAATCAATTTTTTTTTATAATATTGAGACAACTTATCAATTGTAAATAATTATGAAAATTTTTTGTGTATATGATATGATTTTAATTTGATATTTGGAATATAAATTGAATATATTTATTTTGTTAATAAACTTCCCAAAACAGCAATAAAATGCATTTCCGAATGTTGTTTGAATACCTTAAAAGGGAATATACCAATTACTCCCCATCAAAAAAAGAAAAATTAATTCGACATAATACGCATACGTTGAGAAAACCCTCTGATAAAAAAGTATCGTTAAAAAGGAAACACCACCTTATCATCCAAAAAGGCGGAATTCTTCCTCTACTTTTACCGGCTGCACTCAGTGTTCTAACATCCTTAATAAATAAATAGCAATGGAATATGCTAAAAAGATGATTCTAGTACCTGAACCCGCCATGTAGTTCCAGACGAAAAGCTGAGCGAACTGGATCGTGAAATGAAGGAAATATTACTATCGAAAATGGATGAGGATGCAAAAATAAAAATGTATAATCAAGTATTGCTAAAGATAATAAAAATAGATTTAACAAATCCTCCCATAGCAAATCCTGAGACTCAATCCGAAGAATTGCCTGAAAAGAACAAAGAAATGAAATGGGACAGAGATGAGGAAAATTACATCGAACATTTAATGTTAACCTCGATTCCGAGACAGTTTATATCAGCTACGAAAAATGTTTTAAGCGTTTTAAAGAAAAACAGTGAGATCATATCTTGGACGTAGCATATCTAACGTAGCAATTGAAACTGTTGGCCAAGCTTCCAACATAAAATGGGCCAAGTATAGGCATCTTAGATTAACGTCAAGTAATTTCGGGCCAATTATTTCAGCCCATAAGCGCAATAGTTTCCCCCCTTCCCTGTTTAAAAAATTAAACTGTTTATATAAGCTTGACAAAGTCATGCAAGTGCAGTGGGGAATACAAAATGAAAAGACTGCAGTTTCTGCATTTGAAAATGCTACAAAATTATCTGTGGAAAGCTCAGGGTTTTGGCTCCATCCTTCTGGACTTTTGGGTGCTAGCCCTGATGGCCTTATTAAAGTCAGCGATGGTTGCTTAAAGTTATTGGAAGTAAAGTGCCCTTACACTTACCGCAATGATGTTTTGCAGGAAAAATTAAAAGGTGTAAGAAATTATATTCTTTGTATTGAAAATGGCGTGTACAAAATCAATAAATCCCATGATTACTATCATCAGATGCAGGGACAAATGGCCATTTTAAATGCTTCATCCACATATTTAGTTTTGTGGACTTTAAAAAGCACCATCATTTTTGAAGTTTACAAAGATGATGATTGGAATCATCTAGACATGCTGGTAGATTTCTATGTAGAGAAATGGGTACCTTATCTAATTTGCGACTCATAAAGGTAAATGTTTGTTTTAGTGTTTTATTATTTCTATGATTTTCTTTAACATTATGTCTCTATAGAATCATTTATTTAAAAAAGAATTTTCAAAGTCAATATCAAAATTACACTAATTCTTTTTTCCTTCTGTATAGCGTCTGATATCATCAACATTGCCGCTTCTTAGATTGATTTTGTCTATTAATGTTATTGTAAATTGATGACATATCTATAAATAGAAAATTTGTGACTTATGTAGTTGAAAAATTTTATTTTTAATTTTTATATGTATATTATGTTAATCTCTTTTTATGATATTAATTGTAAATGACTATGAAAACTTTTTGTATATATGATTGGGAGAATTTGTATTTAATATTTACCATATAAATTGTATTTATAATCTGGAAATTGGAAACTTGTGAATTTTATTATTTGGAAAATTATATTTTTAATTTATGTTTAATTTTTCTTAAAATATGTATATTGTATTAAATCAATTTTTTTTTTTAATATTGAGACAACTTATTAATTGTAAATAATTATGAAAATTTTTTGTGTATATGATATGATTTTAATTTGATATTTGGAATATAAATTGAATATATTTATTGTATATATCGTATTATTCAGGAATTTGTAACTTCTTTTGTTGAATTTCATTTTATTATCGTAATTGAGAATGCTTGTATACATTATTGGAAGAATTTTTATTTAATATTTGGTATATTAATTGCAAATATTTTCAAGAAATCAGAAAATTTATCATCCATAATAATAATCTAGATATTTTATTTTTGATTATTCATGTTGTAGAACAAATTCTGTACCATAATTTATTTATGTATATTTCTTTATGCATTTCTTTAATACTCTAGATTTTTATTAGTAAATACTGCTTTATTTTTGATTATTCATGTTGTAGAACAAATTCTACGCCATAATTTATTTATGTATATTTCTTTAATACCCTAGATTTTTATTTGTAAATACTGCTTAGTAGAACTTGCATAATCCTGTAATTTTGTTTGTCTATATTTTAGATTTGTTTTTTTTCCCTTATAATAATCAAATATAGTAATTAGTTTTATTATTAGTAAGTGATTGTAAAAATTGTCAGATTTTCTTTTCTTTTAAATATTTGTTTGTTATATAAATTTAACAGCTTTTAATGTTTTTTTTTTCTCAGTAAAATATGACTTGTTAATATTGCATGTAAACATTTTGACTTTCTCAATATGAGAATTTAAAACATTTTTTATCTATATGAAGGAAAATTGCATCATTTTATTCCATTTAGAATTTTTGTTGAACTTATAAAATTATTAGCAGGTCATATATTTTTTTTTTTTAACAAAATAGTATATGTAGTATGCATGTTTTGCAGAAATGTGTGTGTGTGTGAATGTATGACTATCTAGAAATTTTAGCTATAAATTTTTTATAGCTGTATGCATGATATAATTTAAACCTCGTTGTTTGTGTTCATCGCTGATGATACTTATAGCTACAAGATCCCAGATATTTGTTCCGTCTTCACTGCGGAAGCTGTTGCCATCCTTTTGGCATTGCGGCTGATTTCTTCACGCTCCGAACGAAAGTATTTTATATACTCTGATAGTAAGAGCGTTTTGAACCAGCTAGAAAATTTTCGCAGCGATACTCACCCAATCTTATGCCTCATTAATCATATATTAATCGCTCTTCGCAAAAAGGGATTTGATATTTCATTTTGCTGGATACCGAGTCACGTCGGTATCCCAGGAAATGAGTTGGCTGATTCTGCAGCACGATCTACAACTACTGAATTAACCATATCTGTACCATTCTCAGACATTAAACTACATGTTCAACAGCTCATCTCGTCCCTTTGGCAACAACATTGGGACCTTCAAACTCAAAATAAACTTCATGACATCAAACCATACATAGACCCCTTAACTGTATTACGATTACGTAATGCAGATGTAAAACTTAATCGTCTCAGAATCGGCCACACTCGACTCACGCATATTCATCTGTTGTTTGGAGAATTTCCTCCCAAATGCGACTCTTGCAATACTTTACTTACGGTTCATCACATTTTAACCATTTGTCCTTGTTTTAACCAATATCGTCTTACCTTTTTTAATAGCACGATTTTATGTATGAAGGATTTGTTAGATGATATTCATCATCCTAACATTTTCGCATTTCTGCGAGCTATTGGTATTTTATATTGTATATAACTGTTTTATCTGATTTTATTCACTCTTATTTCCTACCCATGAACCGTTTTACCTTTTCTGTGTATTTTATAGAATTANTATTTATGTATATTTCTTTAATACCCTAGATTTTTATTTGTAAATACTGCTTAGTAGAACTTGCATAATCCAGTAATTTTGTTTGTCTATATTTTAGATTTGATTTTTTTTCCCTTATAATAATCAAATATAGTAATTAGTTTTATTATTAGGAAGTGATTGTAAAAATTGTCAGATTTTCTTTTTTTTAAAAATATTTGTTTGTTATATAAATTTAACAGCTTTTAATGTTTTTTTTTTCAGTAAAATATGACTTGTTAATATTACATGTAAACATTTTGACTTTCTCAATATGAGAATTTAAAAAAATTGCTATCTATATGAAGGAAAATTGCATCATTTGATTCCATTTAGAATTTTTGTTGAACTTATAAAATTATTAGCAGGTCATATTTTTTATTTTTAACAAAATAGTATGTATGTAGTATGCATGTTTTGCAGAAATGTGTGTGAATGTATGACTATCTAGCTTCGGCTTGGAAATTTTAGCTATAAATTTTTTATAGCTGTTTGCATGATATAATTTAAACCTTGTTGTGTGTGTATGCATGAGTTTTATTTATTCATTAGAATGTATGTGCAGTTTGTGTTGATGGTAGCTTCTGAATATATACATTAAATATATGACTATCAGTCTTCGGCCTGGAAATTATAATTTTAAATATAATTTAAACTATATCACTTTGAATTACTAATATCACTTTGATGCATGACATAATTAAAACCTCACCTCTTCAATAACTCTCTCTGGGTTGCATGTGTATAATCTTCAAAAAAATGCATGTGCAGGTTTCTGTCCATGATAAACATTAAATGTATGGTTATCTTGTTTCGGCTAGGAAATTATTCTTGGAAATTTAGTATCTTTATTGCATGACGCATTTTAAAGCTCTTTAATTTTTCCATTTGAGTTGTGTGTATATATTTTAATAATCTTGAATGTTTTGGTCATGTACCTATACACTAGGTGTTAGATCTAAAAAAAATATCTAATGAATTTTGTGTTAATATAAAATTATTTGCCTTTATCTTGGAAATTTTTTTCTATAAAACAATTTCATTTATAATCTCTTAGGTACATGACATATTTTAAAACTCTTGTATTTTGTTCTCCATGAATCTGTTATTTCGAAAATGCTAGCGTGCTTCAATTGCAGGACCAGCTTGTGTTATCCAGCAAATTAATGTATCCTTTTTAATCATCAAGTCCACAGGGTCTTGGGTTATCCAGCAAATTAATGTATCCTTTTTAATCATCAAGTCCACAGGGATTTAAAAACTATTTTTTATGAAATTAAGTTAAATACATTTAGAAATTATTTGTTTGTTATAATTTAAAATTTCAGATCATGGTTTTCCTATATTAGCATGAGAATTGTTACAATTTAGTCTCATCCTTCTAACTTATTGTTTTGCTTATGTTTGGAAATGCACTTAAAATTCGTTAAAAAAGCTTGATTACCTGTCATTTTGACTATTAATTTAAACATAGAATTGTTCTCATGGTAAATATTTTATCAAATATCATTTTCAGTAAAATTTTATTCAAACAAAATTTGTTACTTTAAGCTTTTTAATATTTATCTTTTTCTATTATTTCAGGAGAAACCTTTAGAAAAATATGGCTCAAGGTTTATGAAATGATGGTAAAAGTTATGATTATATGCATAATGCTAAATATCTCTTTGTAGTAAGTACTTTTCATTATCGTTGCACAATGGGCCATTGGTGACAGTCTGAGAAGCATCAATGAGGATGATCCAGAGACAACTTACATACAAAACATCCAGTTTTGTTGAGAGGACACAATCATCAACAGATCATAATTTAGACCTGAACTGGAGCATGAACTCTCTCCGATCCGGCACCCCTAGAGGTATTTTTATTGGAACTATTAGCACAGATAGATTTAATGTGAACCTGCCATAGTTTACTATACGAAAATTTTACGACGCGAGATTCGAACATTTTCTTCCGAATGTGAGCCTGCCCTACCTACCATAAAATTTTTAACAATATATTTATATAATGCTTAATACTAAAGCAATTCTTTTCATACATTATGATTATTCCATACATTAAAAAAAAAGGAAAAACGAAATGTAAGAAGCTGATGTTAGTACAAAAATTGATTTTTTTTAATAGTTGCAGTTACGAGTGGACTAAGTACAAGCTTTAATTTCACTAACTTTTGAAATATAAAGATACATACTTTATTATATTTTTTGTAGTAATAATATAATTTCTTTTTAGGTCTTTGCTAGATGGTTCCTGTCTCTAGGTTTGTTCTTGGAACAGATCAGAAACAAAAGCTTTCTGGCTGTTCTCACCAATCATTTGGGCATGGCGTTGTAAGATCTTGATGTTGTAATAACCGGGTGTATTGAATTATATGGAGCACGTGTGTCATAAAGGAAGCCTTAAAAAAAGATCTACTGGAGTGTCCTAATCCAGCCTCAGCATGGTTTGTTTACCGTATATATATTTTTTTATAAAACATAACTGATTTGTGTACATTACAGCTCTGAGAATATATTTTAAATTCATTTAATTTTTAGGTACATATCAAAATATTAACTTTTTAGTTATTTGTTTCATAACTTGCTAAGTCTATTTTTGATTGATCATATCCTATCGCTCATTATTAATTAAACTCAAAATTGTTTGATTTTATTCATAAATTATTTTATGAAAACCATTCATTTCTTTAAAATAATACTGTAAACCCAAATTAATACATAGAAAAAGGTATATTTATACGAGGGTTGCTATTTATATTTCTGGCCTTGGCAACAATAAGTGTTGCTAGGCGACCGCAGCCAACATAAATTCAGCAGACGATTTACCATTATAGCTTCATTTGTGTTGTTGACAGTAAATTGAAAAGTTCTTCTCTTTCAAAAAATGGAATTGAATCGTGAACATTTTCGTGCCATTATTTTTCATAACTTTCGACGTGGATTGTCAAGACAAGAGTGCTTCGATGAACTTAATTCTTTATTCAGCGATAAAGCGCCATCCTACAGCACTGTAAAAAATTGGTATAACGAATTTAATCGTGGTCGATGTTCGATCCAGGACGAATCCCGTGCAGGTCGTCCAAAATCCGTTGTTGTGCCAGAAAAGATCGATGCTGTGCGTGAACTGATAAAGCAAGATCGTCATGTGACATACCGTGAGATAGAGGCGTCTTTGGACATTAGTATGACTAGCATCAATAAAATATTGCATGAACATTTGAGCGTAAAAAAAATTTGTTCGCGTTGGATCCCGCATAATCTGACAAACGCTCAAAAAAAGGCTCGTGTCGATTGGTGCAAGGAAATGTTGGAAAAATACGTTCAAGGTACATCAAAGGCTGTGTATAACATCTACACAGGTGACGAATCATGGATCTATGCATATGAGCCGGAAACAAAACAGCAATCAACTGTATGGGTCTTCCAAGACGAGGCAAAACCAACAAAAGTTGTTCGAGGAAGAAGCACATCGAAACAAATGATTGCCTGTTTCTTCGGCATTAACGGTCATGTGGCAACAGTGGCGTTAGAGCAACGCAGGACGGTCAATTCTGAATGGTACACGACCATTTGTTTGCCAGAAGTCATCGGAGAAATTCGAAAAAAGCAGAAGAACAGGCGAATCATTCTTCATCATGACAATGCGAGCTCTCACACATCGACTCAAACAAAGGCATTTCTGACGGAGCGAAAGATCGAACTGATGGGTCATCCGCCGTACAGCCCTGATTTGGCACCCAATGACTTCTTCTTATTCCCACACATCAAAAATAAATTACGTGGACAACGATTTTCGACCCCCGAAGAAGCGGTTGATGCATTCAAAACGCATGTTTTGGAGTTACCTCAATCGGACTGGAAAAAGTGCTTTGAAAATTGGTTCAAACGTATGCAAAAGTGTATTGTTCATCATGGAGAATATTGTGAAAAACAATAAAACCAATTTCGATCCTACATGTTTGTTTTTTCATTATTAGGCCAGAAATATAAATAGCAACCCTCGTACATACCTAAATTATTTATAGCAAATAAAATGTTAAGTAATATATCAATGCTCTATATTTTTTATCTAAATTACATTTTATTCAGATACATACATTAAAAATAGACACAATATAAACAAGGAAAAAAGTTTATTAATAAATAATCTGTCGATAGCACTTTTACACACACTTTATAAATATAGAATTAAATATATACACAAATATAAGTATATTGAAAAATGTTTAATGTAAGCACTGTAACTATTGACACTAGTTTTACTTACAAATTATGTTTTATTTTAATAAAAAAAATAAATTCATTAGAGTTTAGATGAAATCCTCAACAGTACAATTTTATATAAATATCGCTTTATTGTTATCAACGTCGAAATATATTTCTAAAAAAGATAAATGAGAAAAACTATTACGATTATACAGACCCGCCAACTTCAGAAAATTACTAACTCCGAAACTTGACTTACAATTGAAAAGGCTAATGAAAATACTTTTAATATCTGAAAGGTTGGACGCAATAGTCTGAGAGAATTGTTTTGAATATAGTGTTTACTGACACAAGGTCTATAAGAGGATGTATTGCATCAAACTTAAGTTGTATCTAAATTATATTGCATACAGATACTTCAATTAAAAATAAACACATTAATGTAAACAAAGACACAAGTTTATTCGTGAACAAAAAATGATAGTGAACTCTGTTGATAGCAGGTTTACACACAGACTTTATAAATTAGATTTAAATATATACACTCAAAACATATATTTCTATTTTGTTGTACATAAGTATTTTCTATAAGTTAACATAAAATGTCAGCACTGTAACTATTGACAACAGTTTCAAATTATGAGACAAATTATGCTTCATTTAAGTAAAAAAAAAATTTATTTATTAGAGTTCAGATGAATTGATCAACTATACATAACTTACAATTAAAAAAGCTAGTGAAAATACTTTAATATAGCAATAGTCTGCGAGAATTGTTTTGAATATAAAGTTTAGTGGCACAAGGTTTAAAAGAGGATGCAGTGCATCAAACAAAGGGTTTTAAAAGAATTAAAAAGTTATGAAAGGAGCATGAATAAAGTCAGGTAAATTAGTGAAAATTATAAAACATTTAAGAGACACGTTTTTAAAATAGCTCAAATTTATTGGTAAATTTACTAAAATGATAGGAAGTGAAAAAAAATTTATATAAAACTTTAAAGTTTGAGAGTTGACAGGTCTTAAAATATATTTACAACCAATTAAACTGTAGGTATTAGTATTATGAAATTAAAAATAAATTTGGATAATGGTGACTTGAATGTTGAGTTCAACGTAAGCCAAAGCACTGTAGCAAATAAAATATTACTATGAAGGTAATTTAAAAAATTTAGATTTAGACTGTCAAATGCAAATTTTATTCCATAAAAAGTGATAACAGTAACATTAGCCAAATATAAATGCTGTATAACTAAATATGTATACATACATTAATTAAAAAAAGAGTTAAGTTTCTATATTAAAATTGAATTATATTTAATTGAAATTAATATTATTAAAGAAATAAAAATTAAACACCTATGTGAATACATAGATTAATAAATATGAATGTTAAATAAAAGTTTATGTATGGGATAAGTATGTTTTAAAGAATTCTTAAAAAATTCATGTTGCACTTTCTGATCGAATAAAATAGGAATCTGAGATTTTAAGATAAATTCATATATAACACCTAAAAATATTGTTCCTTTCACATTTTAAAATGAAAATTAGAAATTTAAAATAATATTAAACATAATTTAGAATAGATATATTTAGGCTTTATAAAGATATTTTACTTCATTTATTAAAGGAGGTCGAAAATTTGTAAGGGTTACAACTATTTGCATAATTTTGGTACTGTAAGGAAAAAGAAAATTGGGTATTAATACCATGATTTTAAAAACTTTTAATTCGCCGAATCACTCTCTCAACATGAATCCTAGCTCTTGCAATCATTTTGGTATTCTGAACATGGCTGGGTGTGAATTCCTGTGTAGCCAGAAAAGGGGGAATGTTAACTGAAACACCATCTGGGACAACATCTGTAATTAAAAAGCCTTTATCAGCAAGAACTAGGTCACCTAGTTGAAAAATCTGACATAAACTGCCCTTTTTAAAAATCTCTTTGTCAGAGGTTGAACCAGGGAACATATGACCAGCAAATGTTATGGAACCATTAGGGGCTACACCAATTAAACATTTTATAGTGTGGCGATGTTTATAGAAACTGTAGAATAATCGTTGGTGCTTCAATTTTTTAAGTCTGATTGTACAAAAATCTGTACAATCAACAACCATTCTACAATTTTGAAAGCTTGCAAAGCATGAAGGCAAACAGATTTGATTTTTAAGTTGTGAGGGAACAATACTCATTAAGGGTTCATATAATCTCTCATGTAAAACATCAATCCATGTCATAACAATATTTGTTACTGTGCTCTTGCAAACATTGAATCGAACAGATAAATCAACATGACCCAAATTCATTTTTAATTTCATTAAGGTCAGTAACAGTTGATCTTCTTTTGTTACAACCTGAAAGTTCCAATCCTCCCAATATTTAATTGGGCCTTTAATACAAATTTTATAAGCAATATTAAAAACTTCCTGGTTGGGAAAGCCAGTAAAATAGTTGACCAATTCATCTTTCTCTTTAATATCTGAAAAAGAGAATCTTTTATCATTCAACTTTACTTTCAAGAATTCATTTTCTTTATCAGGAGGTCATTTTCGATTTCTAACATTGAATTAGATTTTCTCAAATTTTCTATTTCAATTTTGAGATTTTTGTTCTCATTTTGAAGAAATTCTAACTCTTCCATGATAGTGGCACTTGAATTCGTATGAAGGAATTGTGAAGCAGAAGGGACTGTCACATCCGAGGTTCTAGGCAAGTCAAGAGACTTTCTAAAATTTAAAAATACATTTATTCAATACATAGTAATAAGTAGAATTTCAATACTAAATCAAATCCAGACTTTATGAGTTATAAAATAAACATTTCATAGCTTTTTTTAAAAAAAGCATCATCACATTTTTATAACTTTTCCGCCAGCTACTGAAAAGTAAATAGAAAGTTTTATCATTAATTGAAAAAAACAATCTCTCTCTCAAAAAAAAAAAAATAATGCATAAAAAAAAACAGTGTTTTTGTTCTTATAAAAATAAACATTTATCTTTCTAGTAATACATGAAACTTTTATTAGGTTAAAATCATCCTCATAATAAGTTTTAGTAAACTTTAGGCAAATTTTATCAACAAATAACACAAGACTTTAAATTCACAGTTTAATTAATATAGTTTAATTAAGAATTAATTTAATAAGTTATATAATTTATATGCCTTTTACAAATAATTATAAATCAGTTTTTTTAAGTATCCAACATCCTTAGAGATTGCTTTTCTACAGAGTTATTGTAATCGCAGTCGCACCAAATCTTAAAAGCCTTGACACTCAGTGTGCAATAAGACAGATTAAATTATAATACCTTCTTTTTTTCTTTTCTGGAGAGCTGATCAATATTATGTCTTCATTCCTTTGAAATATTGTAGGGCCATTTTCTTTAATACCATCCTTAAAATGATAATGGCAAATTCTTGAGCTTGATGATGGCTCCCTATCTTGTCTATATAATATAGGAAACTTAAAGCTTTTTAATGCTTTTCTTTAATTAAAAATCTTAATTAAATAAAATAAATTCTCATAAATTCTTAAATTTGCTTTAATTTAGCTATTCTATATATTAAAATTCTGGAAACTAAACATAGTAGTGACCCTTTTAACATAACACTACACTATTATAACACTACACATTAACATAGCACTACACTAGTTACGTTAAGAAATAATCTAATATTAATTATCTAATAATAAGGTATCCTCATTTTCTCAAAAAATTAATACATAAAACTACTGTTAAAAATTAATTAATGATGATGTTAACAAATATAAACAAGAAAAATTCTCAAGTCATAAATCTGAGTTTAAACTAAAACTCTGTGCAGATTTAACCATATGTATACATATTAAATAAGTTAGTTACATAATTTATTCCTATTTAGTAGTTAAAAACTAAAGCTTATGAGAATTAGCGGCAATAATCAGAAAATCTTAAGCAAACCAAGTTTACAAAAACTACAAATTTTATCATCAGACATAATTAAATAAACAGACATTATTGATAAATACGATCTAATTATAGATTAAAAATTATTTTCAGAACGTTGTAAAACAATGCATGCCTTTCCATAACTGAAGAAAAAAATTAGATGTAGGTCAAGAATATGTAACAAATTCTAAATAAAATAAGACATTATTATAAACATAAGACAAGAGTTAAAAATATTGACGCTTAAATTTTCATACATCAAAATTAAAGATAACTTACCTGATGTTTTTGATCCATACTTTTTTTTCAGCCTCCTTTAATAGAAATGTAAAAAATTTGCATCCATTCTTTTCACTATAATGTTTACAATCTGGAGCGAAACACATAACCATTTTGAAACTTTTTTTATAGCATTTAATACACTTAACTCGTAAAGTCTACTGATACCCCGTATAAAGAAAACTACTTTAATTAGGAATAAGTCTCTTAAAAGCGCTATCTAAATTTATTTATGTCAATAAAAAACTAAAAATCTTGCCGTCTTAAATTGACATAGGAAATGCCATTTAAATGGATCGTTCGACAGAATGTTTGGAACGAGATTGGAAGGACGCGTCGTTTGACATCATGAAATACGTCATTACTGTCCCTGTCTATTTGGGATGCCTTGCAACGCGATGTTCAGAAGATATCCCCACCCCCTCTTACCCCCCACTGGTTTATGGACAGCCCTGCAGAATTCATGGTGTCAATTATCTCCAGCACTACTTCACACATTGATCGAATCCATGCCACGCCGTGTTGCGGCACTTCTGCGTGCTCGCGGGGGCCCTACACGATATTAGGCAGGTATACCAGTTTTTTTGGCTCTTTAGTGTAATTACTTCAAAAAAACGAATAAATTTAAGGGTGTTCGACTAAAACGACTTACTAATATTTATTATAAGTCCAAATCAATTAATTTAATACTTGGTTTATATAAATAAAGAATTATACAAATAAACAGAAATAATTGTTCAAAGAAAAAGCAATTTAATTTTTGGACAACAACTGGAACTTCAAGGGAAAAAATATATAATTTATTATTGATATGAAATTTAAAAATTATGATACTTGCTACATATATTTACACTTTATTAGCTTACTAACTTCTAATGCAGCTAATTCAAATAATTGATCCGTGCTATTTACATTATACTAAACTAATACCTATAACTGAGGAACTGCAATGTAGAAATTTTTAAGCGATGTAGAATTCAATAATCAGTCAGAGCTTAAAAAATGACGGAAACAAAAATGTCTGAACATAAAATACATAATGAAAACTATAAGCAAAAATAAGTTATCGTTCTTTTTCTTATGAACACCTTGCTGACAAATTTTTTCTCATAATTATTATCAAACATCTCTCTCATGATGGACACATACTGGTCTATTTTCGTAAAATATCAATAAATGTACGTATATTACGATTATACAATAGTAAGAGATAAAATGTTCTCTCACCTGTGACAAAATGGGCATTGCATATCAAACTATTTTTGTTTGGAGTCCTATTTTCTCTTTTCATGAAATAACACCAGACAACTCGACGAACAGGATCATTTGGGAAGCGAAACATTTTTACTGTAGATAGAAGATTACTATTTCTTCTCATACTACAACCTATAACTGAGCATAAAAAAAGAAAGGTTTCCCTTCTACTGGGTGGTCCAAAGTGTCGCCACCACTTTTTCTATTAGACATCACGTTTACAACTTTTATGTATTTTTCTTATTAAAACTTAATATTTGTTTACGATGATTGCATCAGCCTAAGCAAAAACATTAGCAAACAAACAAGTTCCGGTTGTTGAAAGTTCATGCGGACCTTTACGTCTGCAAGCGAAAATAAGCTCCGCTCACAGATAAGGTGGATTAAAAGTCAACAAAGAAAGACCCATAAGACCCTTTTAAAGGAAAATATATCCTCTTTTTTTCCCCCGACATGTTTGGCATTAAAAGATTCCACCGTATTATTAGTAGAATTATAAAGCAAGCTTCTGGCATGGTTTGTCAATTTCCCTATAATTTCCTTGATTTTAAACAAAATTCCACTTTCTTCAAATTCTGAGATATGATTTATATGTTCTCTATCATTACAAAAGTATGAAGCACAGCATGTATGGTCTCCAAAAACATGTCGTGGAGCGTTTTTCATATCGTTTATTAGATCAGCTTGTACATTTAGTTTCTTTTCTATGCTCTGATGCCTTTACAATTGCATTTCTTAATCTAAGAATTCTTTTTGTCTAGCAATTTGCGAACTGCGACGTTCCTAATTTTGTAATTCTTGCTACCTCTCTCAATTTGTTGCAGAAATTTTAAGGTATCCGACCACCTTGAAATCGAGTATTTCGACGAAAAATTCAAATTTCAGTTTATTGTCTCATTATGTTGCCCCATTTCTCTAGTTTTCAAAAATGTCTTGTTTTTGCATATGCGTCAAATAGAAATTTAGTTATGGTAATTTTAGTGATGAATGGTAGCTGTCAAATTTATCGTAAGTGACAAAAACGAAACCGAAACTAACCAATAGTTTTACTTCTTCTCTATTTATGTAAAAATAAAATTTAGATATTTAATTTTTAAGGCTCCTAGACTCTCGGCTAATGAATCTGAATAATTTTTTTTATGTAACTGTGCTTTTTTTAGTTGGCAACAGACGATATGCTTGAATTTTTGCAATTGTTTGTTTACATATGAAGCGTTCATTTTATTTCTTCTTCTTTGCTGTATTTTTAACAAATTCTCTGATTTATTTTAAAAAATTTATACTAATTTAAATGAAATGGGTAAGAACAGAACTACTCGATCAAAAAAACGCACATTTCATGGAAATCAACATTCTAATAAATGTGCTGATANTAGCTTCGATACCTGTTTTCTCCGAGCGGAGCTCGGTCACCCGCTGGTATATATATTAAATCATAATCATCAAAATAAGCAATATTTAAACAATACATATCACAAGAAAAACAGCACCACACGGCACCAAAAATATATCGTATAGTTACGATTTAAATGAGTTTAAGTAAATAAGGGAATAGATCATTACATTAAAAATGAGTAAAGGATCGTATAGTTGAAAACATTGTCCAAGTGATCAACCTGATCCTTCATTCCAGAAGGATCTCCAGATTTCTTAGCTGGTCAGGTGCTTTTTTGGAATTGAGTAATTGAAGGCACTTAGTTCAAATTACAAAAACTTTTCTTTATTCAGTTGATCTCATGATGGTTCGCTTTGATGGAGCTGGCTCCCTTCATATGGCATCTAATCGTTCATGTGGAACGCACATTTTCAGGTGACTGTTACCATGGAAACTCGCCAACAATTAGCGACAAGGCACACGTGTTGCGCATCTTACTTTGCCAAAGTTCAAAATTAAACAAAACATGATTTACCTTTACATTTATTTGATAAACTTTAAATTTAAATATTTTACATCTTACACATTAAAAGGGGTGAAGTACTAAAAATTTAACTGAAAGGTGAGAGCCTAAAAGTTTCAAAAAATGAGAACGTTGTTTCTCTCATATCGCGACTTCCTCAACTGGAGCCAAGAAGGTACGAGGAAAGGAGCAAAGCGCTACTCGGTTACAGTTAAGTTTGGAATAATCGATATAAAAAAATCAATTCATAAAGTTAAATTTAGTGGAAGGCTATTGTGATTAAATGAACAGAAACTAAAAAAAACTATTAAGGAGTAGAATAACAACGCACGTGTGATGTAGCAACATCACAGTCCAACATGCGGATAGCACATTAAGAATTTAGTGACTGGAATATTCTCCACTAAAAAGTACACTTCATCATTTAAAACAACAATATGATGGATTTCTACACAATTTTTGTTAGATAATGCTACAACATAATAATCTGTGTGGATAAATTTAGAGCAATAGTCCTTGCAACTAAAAATGTGTCCAAAATAGCACATCCTTTTATAAAACTGTACGTTGGATTATGATGACGTAACTTGATTTCCCAATAACTTTTTAAATGCTTTTTCTTAAGTTCTCAACAGGTTTTGATAAATTGGTTTTCAAAATTACCATCCAGTAACGTTATGGCATGTTTCGTTACAGATTGTTTTGCTTGCATCTCATCAACAAATTTAAATATCTGATGATTACTTATCTCTTGTTTAGACAAGACTACTACTTGTGATACTTGTTTAGACAAGTATCACAAGTAGTGATTTACTGGTGTAAGCTGTTAGGTAATCTGCTTAGGTACACACTTTGTAGCATGATGTAGGTCTTTCAGTTTTCCAATATTATCTTCAAACGTAAAACAAGAATTTGCCCACAAAGGACCCCAAGCCTTTACAGTATCAGACAGGTGCAGCAAAAGATGTATATGATTGTTCTGTTATACCATAAATATTCTTAACATCTAACACAAGCCTTATTAAACAATAATCTGCTTTCTCAATATCATCTGCTGAGATGTTTGACCACAAGGGTAAAGTTGTACCATGTACAAAGTGAAGCCAATGCTTATAAACAAGATTGTTCAATATATTCTTAAGAAGCACAGGTGATGATAATAAAAATATTTGCCATTCCAAAAAGAAATTTCTTTAGTTGTACGTAACTTGCGTGAAGCTTCAGGAGGAAGTTTAAGATATTTTATACGAATATCTAGCAGTCGAAGGTCCTTGGCAGTTAACGAATAATTATGGCCCGAGCTCTCGATAAGAAGGTATACAAGTTGCCTTGTCACACCAAGAAGCACACATATAATCAGGTATAAAACCATCAACCATGTTGAAAGTTAGATAAAGATTCATCAATACAGATGCACCTTTAACTCCTTTAGCAGCACTACCGGTAGAGATTGTTTTTTCTGCACTCTCAATGCAGTTTACAAAGGTTCTCCTCTGCGCTAACTTTCCATTAAAAGCATAGATACGGCAATAGCCTTTTCCTTTCATTACTCTTTCTCCCTCCTCTTCACAAAATCCGCAACCGAATTGTCCATTGAATTGTTTAAAATTTTGCATGGCGCAACGAACTGGTGCATCACTGTTACATATTAAAGTAGTCCTTCTGAACAGCTTTTCTCTATCCATTTTAGGCCTTCTTTTGGTAGCTTATTAAGTTCGTCAACAAATGGAACTAGATAATCATTCATGTTTAGTTTTTTTCTGCCAAACCACAAGCTACACACCAAAATATTCCTTTTTCTTTCTAGTGGTTCAAGTTCGTTAATTTTCACCTGAATCGGCCAAATATCGTATTTGCTTTTTCGATAAATTGGAATGCCATCCACATTAAATTGAATTGATACATTATTTGATTTTAGAAAACCATCAGTAGAGCGATATAAGCAACTATTAAGAATGTCTCTGTAAGTATTAGAATTGTTAAATTTGGATTTAAAAATGTTAATACTATGAAGGAGATCCTCAGTTTCAAATTTCATTTGCAATTGATATGTAAGAGGCATATAAAGAAAAAAAATGGCAATTTTTTTATCGAGTATCATCACTATTGAAAGATTCTGAGCACGTTTGACATCCTGAATTTTTATTATCACTACATAATTGACTAATGTAACTATCACAATGAGGACAATAAAGATGTAGTTCACATGCATTACTCATTGAGGATGTATCCGCACGGATTTGTAGCGCCACCTAGTATAACTTGTAACACTGAGAGAGAGAGAGAGTGTGTTGTTGTTGCTGGCCCACACGGTTAGCGGAGCTAAACCAAGTCCATGACTCCAGAGACTCTGAGTAAGTCTGTAACAAAAAGTGATCTGAAAAGAGGTCCACTTTAGAGATATTTAGGCATTGAAGTATATGTTCAGGAGTAGTGAGCCGCACTATCTGAACTCTTGTGTTGATCCAATCGAGGGACTCCAAAGAGTGTATTTCCACCCATTTCTTCCTGTACATGTCAGTTAATCTTCTGACGTTCCTGAGTATCTGAGGCAAATTGCTCTTGAATTGATCAACAGCATTCCGAGCGAGGCAACTCTTATTTATACAGATGGCAGCAGGAATGCCGATTCTTGTTCTGGCAGTGGTGTCTTCGTCAGATCCAATCACAACTCTTACCATATCAAGTTGAGAAATCCTGATCACTGCTCTGTCTTTCGCAGCGAGCTGATCGCTATAGATGCTGGATTGGGCGCTGTGCTTACTTTTCCTGGATCAAATGACATCTGGATTTTGAGCGATAGTAGGAGTGCAATCCAGCACCTTTCGGATTGGCATGGGGTGGGTGACAGTGATGGAGTTTCAATTTTAAACAAGCTGAAGACCCTTTCTTTCTCCCATAATATACACTTGCAATGGATCCCATCTCATGTCGATGTTGAGGGTAATGAGATTGCAGACTCCTTGGCTAAGAGCGGAACTGATCTGCCCCTGCATTCTTCGGCATCTCTGACTTTCTCGGAGCTCCACTCCCGTTTTAACAGGCTTCGTGATCCTGTGGCCCCTCCTGTTCATCATTGGTATCAGTGCAACCGCCCAGGTGGCAGCCTGACCCTTCAGTGCAGTAGGCGGGATCAGACGGTTATATCAAGATTTCGAAGTGGTCACCTAAGAACTATGTTGTTCAGTAATGGTTCAAGAGTTTTCCCTGTTTGCACTNGATTCGTTAGTCCATAAGTATTGTTTATACTTTTTAGACATGATAAACAAATATTTTGTGAAGATACCTTCTCGTAAAGGAAATTAATCTACTTGCTTTTCCAAAATTCGACAGTTATCGTATAATATTTGGAAGAAAAAAAATGAACAATTCGATCAAAATAGTAACTATCGGTTATGGTTGCAGCTATTAGATTCCATTGCGAAAGGCTAGATTTAAATCGTAAAAAAAGATATTATTAAACTAATCGACGTTGAATTAACAAGCTATTTAAATTATAATAGTCAGATTCCTGATATTTTAATGAGACTAGGTAGTTTTTTTTAAATGAATTGGAAATGGCTAAATAGAATTATAAATTATTTTTCCCAGAATTACAAATTTATTATTTCAGAGATTGGCAGTGATTAAAATAATGACTATAACTGCTTTTACTTTGAATATATAAACAACAACGTGTGAATATTAAGAAAAGTATTAGTTTGAAATCATGAATGTTAATAAGAAATTGTATTAGTTTACTTTTATGAAGAAAATCAATATTCTATTTTAAAGCTTAAGAAAGCTATCGAGCCTTCAGAATTTCAAAATATTGATTTTAAGATCTGGGATCGATGGAAACTATGTGGAACAACGAATTATATCCTTCATGTTTTCTACAATTTGGAGGTAAGTTAATTTATCATTCTTCAAATTATCTTTTGCATGCCATATTGAGTAAACAGAATTTTTCGTATCTAAATCTGTCTTTCTGACCATACTACAGTCAGACCTCGATATAAGGTCACCCTAAGGGAATCGCAAAAGTGACCTTATAAGCGGGGTGACCTTTTAACCGATTCATTAGCAGTTCGTAACTAAACATGTAAATAGTACACATTATGATTTTTAAAAATGGTATTACAAGCGAAAAATAAATATTTAAGTCAATAAATTTAATATATTAATATTTAAGTTAATAAATTAAATATGTAAGTCCATAAATTTTAACAGAATTAGTAAAGAATTAAAGAAAGTTAGATTTTGTTTTAAAAATTTAATTTAAAATAAAGCTGTTTGCAAATCTCCTCAAAGTGTATATACATACATTACATCTTACCTTATTTAAAATAATCATTATGCAGGTCTGTCTCGTTTTTGGTTTCATTTTTCGAACAATGTTTTCTAGAACTTCTCAAAATGTTCCTCAGCTCCCTCATGGTTTGTAAAAAAATTTCGTATGACATTTATTGCATTGAAGGTTTCCACTTGGGTTACAACTATAGTCTCAGGATTACTGTGATTGTCCTCACTGTCCACAATTTGAAAAAATTTCCGAAATTGTAGATTCAGAAGTGGTGGCAATTTCCTCATCAAACAAACCATATTCAGCCTTCCCTTCAATGGCATGGCCATGATTTTTCAAATATTCTATGAAAACAGATAGAAGAATATCGTCTTCTTCGGTTTCGTCATCCACAATATTCAGAGAACTCACTAAACCAGCATGACGGAAACAATTCGCTATGCATGTGGTGGAAACCATGTTCCAACTTTTGTGCACATAGAAAATGGCATCCAAGACAGTTACGTGAAACTCCTTTTTTTGGTCGATGGTGATTAAGTCCTTCGGGGGGAGCTTACGATGTTCACTTTTAGGTTTTGAATAACTCCTTGATCCAATGGTTGGAGAACGCTGGTCAGACAAGAAAACAAGCTCAATCGAGGCTAACTGTGAGATGTTGGTATGAGCTGTGTAATTGTTTGCTATGAAAACAACTTTTCGCTTCTTCTTCTTCACAAACTGCCTGTCTAAAGGCCGTATTGTGTTCTCCCAAAATGTTGACAGTCATCCTCGTTTTTTTGTTGGTGTCGTAATACACTGGTAAAGATTTCACGTTTTTAAAGCAACGTGGCCTTTGAAATTTCCAATAACAAGAGGTTTCAATTTTTCAGAGCCATCCATATTGGCCCCTAAAAATACTGTAAGTATTTCTTTACTTTTATTGCCACTTACACATTTCTCATTTTTTGAACGCTAGAGTTTTTTCAGGTAAGACGCGGAAAAAAAGACCACATTCGTCGACGTTGAATACATCGCATGGCTTATACCGTTTCAAAATGTCATCTTCTAACACAGATTTCCTCCAGTCATTCAAAACAGTTTCGTCAACACCTCCGGCTTCACCGCATACTGTCTTCAAAGTTAAATCATGTCTTACTTTAAATCTCTGAATCCATCCATTGCTCACCATAAAATTAGGTTCTCCCAATTCCGCGGCTATTTGCAGAGCTTTTTCTCTCAGTACTGAGCACGATATCGGCACATTTTGAGCTCTAGCCATTTTTATCCATTGGAGAATGGCTAGTTCAATTTTCTCATAAGGGGAAAAACGCATTCTTTTCCCATTTCCTATGCGATGAGAAGACAGAATATTGTTTAAGGTGGTGCATGGTATACCACGTTCTTCCGAAAAACGTGCTTTTGATAAATTTGAATTTTCAAAATCCTCAGCGATTTTTTTTTTCTTCCTCTGATAGAGTAAACGTCTTTCTCTTTGCCATCATGACACGACGAGAGAGGTTCGAATATAATTCTTTCCTCTGGTGTGGTCAGCAAATGGTCACGTGACGCGATGGGAAAACTTATCCTTTGTTCCCGCCCGAACGGCGAAAGCCCCCCCCCCTTCCCAGGAAGCATGGGAAGGACAATTACTGGCAGTGAAAGCTGGGGAAAATTCTTTGTGAACTGGGGGGTGGAAACTCTCTCCAGGTCCAGGTGTGTTCGTTGGCTGCAACATTTTTCTAGAACTCGAGAGGCGTAATTGCCTTGTAAGGAAATTAAATAGGCTTTTGTTAGAAAAGAGCTCCCCTCGCCTCAGATAAAAATGACCTTATAAGCGATAAAGGTTTTTGAGACTTGACCATTTATCCGATGATCTATAACAAAGAATTCCTATTCAGTGAGCCCGGACTTTGGAAAAGTGACCTTATATGCGGATGACCTTATATCGAGGTCTGCTGACCAGTCAGTATCGGTTATATGGTCAGCTCATGGGTCCTGAATATTATGACCATATAAGCGGTGTGACCATGTATGCGATAACCAAATATATAGTATAGTTAATATGGCGTGAATATATTCTGGAATCAGAATGTATTTTTTAAACAAATAATTCAACTTTCAAACACGTTTAAAAATTAATTATTAAGGTGCATAATAAGAAAGAATGCAAAAATAATTATTATACTTTTAGAAAAATTTAATTCTTTACCTTAGCATATGTACATGTTCAAAAAAAATATTCCAATAAGCTTGTCTGTTTCTTCTTCTTGGTTGTTAAAACAACTTTTTCTAAATCTCTGATAGTTTTTAAATGTTCATCTGCTGCATTAGAATTTTCAAAAAAAACACCTTAAGTCATCTATAGCCTTAAGAGCATCAGCTGTTGATAGACTTTTTATTGCAATCAGTATCATCCTCATCGTCACTTCTTTCAGCATTCAGATTTAAGACATTAGATACAATGCCTTCCACAGTTGCTTCACAATTAGTGGGCAATTATTATTTGGGAATACAAATTTACGTCCGGCATTGCATAGCCTCGGTTTCGAAGATTTTCTGCCAATTCAGCTAATGGAAGATCTTCCTCAGGGTCCTTTAATGATAACGAAGAGTCTGGAGAACTGTGGAACCCCGCGTGACGGAAACAATTTTCAATGTTTTCGAAGACACCATGTTCCAGCTTTGGTCAATATTGAACAGTGCGTTCAAAACTGAAACGTGAAATTAATTGATAATGTAATTGATGGAAGAATCACATTAGATGAAATTCCTGTTGTTCAAGATGTTAAGCAGAAAGATATTAATCATACACTGAATCAACAACGAATGTGATTCTTCCGCGGATTTCCGCTTTTTTTCTGATTTTTCCCGCTAATTTCCGCTGAAAAATGTTTTTGCACAAGTCTAAATATTTTAGAATTTAATTTTCCGCGGATGGAAAGTATTGAAGTCCTCATTCCTCCCTCTGAAGTTTCTCTAAAATTCTTTTCCTTGAGGTAAAACTGGTTGACCTTTATAATACACCCCCAAGTATCCTCAGTATTTTTTTATCTTCTGATAACTCATTACAGACGCCGTGTTCTTTTTTTCTGTTAGGATCTTTGACTGTGTTTTACTATTCGTGCACTACTAAAAAGAATCAGTTCATTCACATTCTTGTTATCATCTACAAAGCAAATGATATTGGTAATGAAACTAGAGAGCACATCAGACATTTACGGTGAACACTTTCGCATAAAGTTCTTACACAAGCAGGCCAAGATCGTAAAAACATAATCGTTTGAATGCCGTTTAGAAGCTCAAAATTTCAAACTTGTCTGTGTTGTCACTCTTTAACGAATATGTAAACCTATTTCAAAGTAGTACTCTCAGAGCCGGCCACAGGGTAGGGCGAACCGGGCGACTGCCCGGAGCGCAATGATCTAAGGGCGCCAAAATGATAGTTGACAAGATTGAGAGGCGGCAGGCGGAATTTATCATTTTTATTTCTAACTACATAATTCAAATAATATAATATATTTAAACATCAAGGCAAAATCTAGTTGAATTCAATTCAACATGACAACACCACCTTTCAAGAATTGGCGAATTTTTCGGTCCGTGGCAACAGGACTGTACCGGAAACATCAATTTTGAAACCAAGCGAAACAAGATCTAACTGCATATAAAAAGGAAGTAGACTTATAACAATGCATTATTTTCCACTAGACTTCGGCTGGTGCGAAATAAAATAGTTCGTTTAAATTGTTAGTGCAAAAAAGCTTTAAAAAAGTGCTTGTGCAATTTGTCCAGTTCGTTTGGCTTCTGTGAAGGTAAGTGTTTTAATTTTTGTTTTCATTTTTAAAACGAAAAAAATCCATCAGACATAAGCCAAAAAAAGGGTGGGGGTAGATTTCAAAAATTAGAGTTTAGATCAAAACATGGCTTGTGTGGTATCAAATCAAAGGTAATTGAGTCTGGAATTGAACAAAATGCATTTTATTTTTTTAAGCCAGTGGCGCACAAGGGGGGGGGGATTTCAAAAATTAGAGTTTACATCAAAAAACGTCTTGTGTGGTATAAATTTTTTTTTTTTGGCCAGTGGAGGTACCTACCTACAATGAAGGAGAGATTTGGTGTTAATCGTGTGAGCTTAGATGCCCATAAATAGGCAGAGTGTTTTTCATTTTGTTTGTTTTAGTTTGTCCTTCGTATTAAAAAAAATTGGGTAGTTATATATTACAAATATAAAAATAAAATGTAGGGAGTACACTCTAAAAACAGTACTTCTTATATAAAAAGTGCAAGCTAAATGTACCCTTATTTTCTCGCGTAAGAAGCACATAACTAGTGAGTCTTTAAAAATGACAGGCACCACAAGAAACTAAAGCAAACGCGAGTTAATGCTGGGTACGAAAAGATTTTACCGCTTCCTTATGCCTCTCAAATGTGCTTCCCTTCTTTTTCTTCGGTACGATGTAACGGAGAAGAAGAGCATGCGCACATCAGTCCGTTTCCTGTCCTCTCCCATCCACTCCACGATTGAAGCTGCTTGTTTACAATCCGGCCTAATGTGGCGCATCTGATGTTATAAATGCTTGAATTTGGTAAGTTTAAAACGTATACTTATATCTTATTTTTATATTTATTCCCAATTAACGATGGCATCTTTCTTATTAATACATTTCAATTATTATTGATGAATTATTACTGCTACAAATCTTATAAAAATGTTTAAGCGAGGGCCTGTTGTAGTTGTATCAGTTATGTTTTATCATTATAATATTAAGAAGAATGTTTTTAAAATGTCCTATATTTGTTCTGTAGTGTTTGATCATAATTTTGTATGAGGTTTTCAATGTGGCGATTGGTATGAATAAGAAATCATTTTTATCTGAATAAACCAATTTGCTTTTTTGTTTATCTTAGTTTATAATCCAGAGCTATCACAGAAATTCTGTCAGAGAATGATTGAATAATTTAAAAAACAACGAAGAATGTTTTCGAATTATTATTATAATTATGAAAAGTATACTTTCAATCACAAGCTATTTTAAAAAACAATTGACATTTAGATATCTAATTATCATTATTTTAAACTGCTACTAAACATCCAATTGATATAAACCTGAAGAAAAAAAACAAGATTATGCTTTATTTATATGTTGAATATGGTGTGAGCATGAAAGAAAAAAGCAATCTTCTAATGATTTATAGATTTTTAATTTTAAATTTGTTATTATTTATTTTGTAAAAGTAATGTTTAAAATTGTTTAATTCTAATATCACAGCTTTAAGTTTAAAATTTCAAATTTTAATTCTGGATTTATGAATCAAAATAAATAACATGGGATACATAATTATTTACGACTAAAAAACCTTCCTTTTAAAAATTTTAACATTTCAAATTGAAATTTAATTTATGAACTACTGAACTGTAGTCAAAAAATATAAAGCGAAGCAATTTTGATAACATTTAGAAAGAATAGAAAATATATTGATTGTAAGCTAAAGATATGTGTATAAACTTGATAGAGTTAATTTTCTTTCTTCTTTTTTTGCTCTCTGAAAAGCAATTTAATGTTCGTGTAATCTAAATTTATATTATTAGTATAACTAAATGATTAATAGTTTTTTTTTGTTACTTTCTGTCTTGACTGTGTTCCAGTAAATGCAAAAAAATGTTTTAATTATGTTGTTTTTTTCTTTCAAATGTTTTTTACTTTTTCTATGCAAATCTACAACAGATTTTCTTTCGACATCAACAGCAGTAGAACATAGATTACAATATAAATCTCCATTTAATGCTACTGTAAATTCATCTTTATACAATTTTTGGTATTTTTTAACTTTTTGTTTGTATTATTTTAGCCATTAAAAATAAGGGTTATCTTAAAAAGAAAATTATGCATCACTGGTCTGAAGTTCTTTTATGCATTATATCAGTCGTTAAAATGCTAGGCGAGAGTTCTCTAGCTTTTTGAGGAAAAAGCGATAAACTGTATGAACACAATAGTGGAAACTTTTTGAAGTTAATTCAGTTATTGGCTGAGTTTGATCCAAAAATGGAGTAACACGTTCGCAGAGTCCTCAATAAAGAAGAAATCAAAGCTACATATCTAGGAAAAACTATACGAAATGAAATAATTGAATTATTGCATGACAACATAAAGCACCACATCAATGAGCAAGTTCAAAAGGCCAAGTATTATTCCGTGATTCTTGACTGTACTCCCGATGCAAGTAAAGTAGAACAGATGACATTTGTGGTAAGATTTGTCTCCATACAGGAATCAGAGT